TTGTTCTCTGGTGAAGAATTTGGGGATTTTGTTGTTGGTGTATTGGACCAAATGCAGCCCTGGCCCATGCCAAACTCAGTGTTGGTCATGGACAATGCAAGTATCCACAAAGTCCAAGGTATTTGTGAGACAGTTGAAGAGCAGTGCATTATCCTTATTCCCTGCTCAAACAATAGTGATTTATCTTTTTTTTTGTAGTGGCATGCAGCTCCTGTACTTGCCTTCTTATTCACCTGATTTAAATCCTATTGAGGAGGTGTTTTCAGCTATCAAGGCATGGCTTTGGTCAAACCGTGACTATGTACTTGGGGAGACTGAGGGTCCAGCCTGTGATCCATATGTGTTGATATGGGAAGCTGTATATGGTATTGTTACGAGTGAAAAGGCTCATGGCTGGTACAAGCATAGTGAATACATTGCATAGAGAGTGCACTTTTTACTGATTTTGTGCAAGTACCTTGCAGGCATGTTGAAACTGCTGGCAGTGCTATTTTACTAAGTGGTTAGTTTGTATCACTGATTGACAGCTTAGGTCAGGAATTCTCCATCCCCCTCAGTCTTGTCATTGCTCTCATACTCATCATACTCACCACTTCCATACTCCAATTCTCCTTACTGCCACATATCATATTCAGTCTCAATAGCATGTTTCTTCCATTTGTCCTGAGTCCCTGAGCTAGGTGCCTCTGGCTCCTCTATCTCTGGCTCCTTGTAGGAATTGAGGAGTCCAAGGAGTGGCAGAACCATCTATTTAGTGAAATTGCAGAGGATTCTGGCTTGCTTTTGCCCCATATCGCCAATGACACTCAACACATCCTCCGGTAAAAGCATTACTTGGCTCGACAAAACCACCCCTGCATCTAGCAGGGATGTTTCAAGTTCATGAATTTGCAATTCTGGTCTTTTGGCATCAATCAATGCAAGCAACACCCCAATTTTTGGATAGTCCAGCAGCATTGTGTTAGGGATCTGGGCTGCAGACTTGAAGTGGCACTGTTGTGAAAGCAGTGGAGGACTAGGAGTCTTTGACATGGAAGCTATGGTAGGATTGGCTGTTATATTTTGTATGGTGACATGGACTTCAGGTGATGATCCCAACCTCGAGTGATGAGGCTTTTTGTTAGCTGGGCCATGGTTGAAATTGAGGCAGTGAGGTGGGTTGTAAGTCATTGCATGACCAAGAGCCTAAGGGTATTTTTTAATTTTTTTCTGCAAGCATGGACATGAAACTTACAATCTTTTTAGCCCAGAGAGTCATCTTGGCGTGATTGAGATGATGATGGTTATCATAGCCACTGGTGTGATCTATGAAACAATGGCCATGGTGAAGCTCACACTGAATGTGGCACTTGAGCTATTTGTATGCTTTGAGCTGTGTGGAATCCTTGTCAATCGCTGGAGGAATATTGTCTTCATGTGTCCTCTTCTTCACTTTGGTGGTAGTCTGTTTGGCCTTGGAGTAACTGTAAGTAATTTTCAATTGATGCGACATAAATAATCACTTACTGCTGTATTCTTTACCTCTAAAGCAACAACTCATGTACACGCATTGGATGCTTTGTGACAAAGTTGATCCATAGTGATACTAAATGCTTCCACATCATTTAGGTGAGAAGCTTTGCTGTTATCACCTAGGAATTTATACACAAGCTGGACTTCTTCAGGAGCATCAAGGTATGCAAGAACACAACTTTTGAAGTCATCCCAAGGCATGTCAGTCTCACCATGAAATCCATGCTTCATGTCACCCATAATAACATCAATGTTGAAACTAAAAACTCCAGGGTGCAGTTCAGGATTTGGTCACAGTCTTGCTGATACTTGGGATGATGCTGGGGCTTTTGATGATGCCTGGGACAGTTCTGGGGTTGGATCTGATTGCATTGGAGGGTACTCTGGAGCTGGAACTTCTGGTTGCATCCTCACTGGTTGCATTGGAAGGTACTGCTGGTATGGAGGCTGGCTAGTGTGAATGAAGTGTGGTGGCTGATGCTGCAAAGGTGGCAGATAGTGCTGCAGTACATGTGGCATTTGCAGATAATGTTGTATGAAAGGTTGCTGATGATGTGCTGGCAGCTGTGGATAGTGATGAGGATACTGATGTGGGTTGTGAATATTGCCTGTGCCAGACCAACTCAGAGGGGTACTTGACATAGTAAGTGAGGATGGGCTTCAAGTTTGTATATTAAGTGATTCTTATAGTTTTTTTCACAGTATTACACCATAATATTTACATGTCCATATGCCTGCAGCACACTGTCTGTCAGGACAACAAATGGTTGCTATTTTTTATGAGTCAATCTTGCTGTTGGGTTTCAAGCGCATGGACCATGCTTGATAATATATATATGTGTTGGTATGAATTACCTAATTGCACATCTTCTCCAATCATATCACAGTCAATGATAACACCTGTAACTCCCCCAACAAGAGGCCTTGTCCTCCCCTGTCCTGCTTCTCCATCCAAAGCATCTTTCTCCTATAAGATGACAGTGGGCAGTGAAGTCTCTGACAATACACTGAAATTGTGTGCTAATTTGTTCAGTTCTAACTATGGAATTTGGGGCAATCAGGCAGCTACAATCTCCAAATTTACTGTAGCTGGTCAGTAGTCGAGATATTGATCATTGGCCATTGCTGAATTATTTACACAGGGAAACAGGTCAAGATGACCAGTGCAAGACTACAATCCCAATGTTCATCTCACCTGGAGAGTAGTGTTTTGGTAACCTGCTACATCCAAGTTGATCCACTTGAGAGTGAGCATCCTCAACTTTACAGGCACACATTTGCCACAGTCTGGGACTATGGTGAAAATAAAGGTAGTTATCTCAATTTATTGCAAAGCTCACCTTCTGATTTTGTTAAGTTGGCTGGGTGATGCAGCTTGTCATTGATGAAGCAGTCCATCAGTGTTACATCACAACCCACCTCTTGCAAGCTCTGAAGTGCCATACCTTATTTGCCTGTGTTAACATTGTTGGTCTTGTCTTGTCTCACCCTGCTGCTTGCAATGCTTTGGCAAAATGTGCTGGTGAGTTATCACCCTCATTATATTCAGATGTTAATACTAAAATTATGAAGCTGCTAATATCAAGGATGTTGAGTTGGACTTCATTTGTCAATATGCAAAGGGCATTCTGGCATCTTCCCCCATTAGCTATCTAAAGGCCACTCAACTGAGGGGTTCACTCTTCCAAGACAGCTATGACAACAGAGCTATATCATCTGTGTTCACCAAGTTTTATGTTGACCACACTGAGCCTTTAGCAGTGTTAGAACAGTACAAGAAAAAAGGTCAATGGTGCTTGGGTGAGCTTCTTGACAGACATGAATTTCTTGCTGTTTTTCCTATTGCACCTGTGAGCCCAGTTTGTGACAATAACTAGCATACCCTACATATCTAATCAGAGAGTAGAAGTTGAAATACCACTGTATGTAGTGAAGTTTTTTGGCCTAGTGTTGTAAGGATTCCATATTCTCTACACCCTGACCAAGCTTTAAAATGAAGACCAATGAACCATGTGGTCACAATCGTTGATGTTGTCTTCTTACTTGAGGTGTCTTATATAAAAGTGGTCAAAAGGCAATGACACCACAATTACACTTTTGATAAGACTGAATGCTGCCAACAGCCTCGAGTTTGTGGTCTATGACTTTTCTTCTTTTGTGGTAGATAATGCAGCATTCATGGGAGGTTACCTGCTATACAGTCCAGTGGTTTTATTCTACCTGGTTGTAAATAGGGGGTTCTACAATACAAGCCTAGCTTTATCTGGCAAGACAGATAATGTAGAGTATGTAGATAAAACTTTATCTAGTCTTGCATTTGACTAGACAAAATAGAATAGATTTTGTAGGTAAATCTCTCTAGTCCTATGTTTGACTAGATAGAGAATAGAGTTTGTGGGTGAGTCTCTCTAGTCCTATACTTGACTAGACAGAAAATAAAGAATAGGTGCATACTAAGCACAAAACTAGGTGGCAAATAATGCTAGATATTCCCCTGCCTTGATATACTAAAGGACTTATCAAAGGGAACTAGGTAGAAGCTGATTGGATTTCCCTGCCTAAATGCAAAGGGTTTAATCCAAGGAAGATGATATGATAGAAGAGCAGATAATCCAACAAAGGAATCTGCAGGCACAGATAATATGGCTTGACTTGGTACTTCTAGTCCTCTGAAACTATAAGTCAGATGCACACTAGACAGCACAGGTACAGTCAAGAAAAGAATAAATGATCTCAGAACAAGTAAACCAAATGTACTTGGTCTGCACTTCCTGGCTAACACAAAGAGTGTCAATGTCAGAGAAAGTGGAAGAAGTGGAGGTTCTTTTAAATGATAAAAGAGATTCTTATTTTTTTTGGGTGGAGAAGTGCTCTCCTTAAATACATGAGATGGGAGAAATTGTATAGTACCAAGAAATAAGGTTGGAAAGAGAAATGACATCAGAGTTGCATCATAAATGACCTCATTGTGGAGCAAAGTGGAGCAAAAGTGGAGCAGAACATTCTAGCATCCAATGACATCATCATGACATCATACCTTGCAGGTACATTTTGTGGAGTCTCTGGGAGGTCAAAGAATCAAGTAGGTAAAGAAATGAAAGAAAAATATGAAGAAAATAAAGTAGAATAAATCATAAGACAGAACAAATCAAAACACTGGCTTTTTAGATAGGGTTTTGGTAGGCTTTTATCTTTTCTCCTTGGTTATTTCTAGTCAAAGTAAATAAGCCAAATGATAGGCAATAACCTAAGCTTTTGTATGACTATCAACTTTGACCAGGTCATTATATGATTTCTTCATCATATTTGACTTTTCTTCAACACACCATATTTTTGCATGATTGGAGCATGCAAAGTGAAATATTGCACTTGAGTCTGTACTCAAAGTACATTTTGTGTAGTCTGAGGACTAAGCTAACAGACTATGGAAATGTGGGATGATATGTCATATATATGTTCTGCATGATTCCCAAATCATGCAGGACAATGTGACTCATTGATGCAAAGAGCACAACTCTTCACATCCGAGTTACATGGATACATTCCTTTGTCTCCTTTGTCCATTTTCTTTTGTTACCTTACCTTGTGTTCAGACCTCACCATCTCCTTGTCTCACCAAAGTATTTTCATCTCGCCTTACACTTCATGTTCTCATTCTGGCCTAGTCAAGTATTCAAAAACATATATATACTGCTCATGTACTCTCCTACCTACAGTGAATCTTAGAGTCAGATCCCCACTCCAAGAATGACCAAAAAGTCCCCCAGAAAGTCTCTGTTATGGCCATTTCCCAAACTCATTGAAGGAATCAACTACTAAGCTATGGCACTACAAGGGATGCCAAGTCAGAGTATATGTGTGGTTGTCTCAGCTCTGCCTAGGCTGCTATACTTTGCAAAGGCAAGTGCATTCGACCCAAGGGGAAGCAAGTGCAACACATCCACAGGTTGCACAAAGTGTGGGAAAGTCATGCATGCGGAGGCAAAGGTGTGCATAGAGAGTGGTAGGATGCGCAAAGCATGGGAAGGTCACACACTAATAGGTGAAAGTGCGCAAAGGGCTAGGAATGTGATGGGGACTAGGGGAAGATGATGACTGATACTGATGGGTGCGAGAATGACAAATGCGATGATGATAGAGTGTGATTGCCAAAATGCTACTGACTATGGCTCAAAAAAAAGTGTGCACTATGCTGAGAGATGCTAAGGGATACTAACTGGAAACTAAGTGGTAGCTAACTCTGTGATAAAAATGCAAATGCTATCATGCAAAAGGTGACTAAGCACATTCCCACGATGTGGAGCCGATGCGAGTAAGGCGCAGGAATGAAGAAGGTATATGTAAGTAAGGGTCTATGATGGAATATGGTGTCATGATAAGAGTAAATGTGAAAATGTACCAGTAGGACTTGGTGGACAATGGATGGATGCTCCTGGATGATGAGTGATGAAGCGTGGGAAAGCGCGTGGGAATGCATCACAGGTGAGTAGCACATGCATTCCACGATGTGTGGGAAGATCATGCATATATAGTGTTAAGAACCATGCTCAAAGGAGAGATAGACTGACTCAGAGGGGCTTGGCCTCAGCTCATATGCTGTGCCCCTTACCCAAGTACATGCCCTTCATTTCAGAGGAAGTCCGATGATGGTCCAATGAAGTCTGGAGGAATGCAGGAAGTGCTCAGGAGAGTTCCCACTGCAAGGTAGTACTTCTACAAGAAATGGGATGGAAGGGTAGGATGTCTGGAGGTCTGGAGGACAGGAGGACAGGAGGACAGGATGTCTGAGGGTTAGGAGGATGGGATGTCCAAAGGTATGGAGGGTGGAATGTCTGAAGGACAGGACACCTGGAGGTGCACAGGACAGGATGTCCAGAGGTCCGGAAGGAATAGGGGCTACATCAGACAAAGTCCAATGTAGAAGCAAACAGAGGTAGACTACCCTTAGGTAGAGTCGAAGAGACAGGAAGTGGACCAAAGTCTGGAGAGAGGGTAAGTGCCGGAAAGGCAAGACTCCAGTCTAGGGAAGCAATCCCTAGACTTGGGACAGAGACATAGGGGACAAATCTGAAGGTCCAGAATTCCAGCCTAGGGAATCCTTCCCTAGGCCTTACAGAAAAGGATAAGACTCAGACAGACTGAAGTCCAGAAGATAATTGGGAAGATCTAAGGTGATATTCAGACTGAGGACTCTACAGGAATTGTACAGGGGTTATATGTATACTAGAGGATATCCGAGAGGATCAGTAAGCAACAGAGTAAGGCTATGTATGAGCATGTGGAAACACATTGGTAAGTAAGACGGAACATAACTAAATGAACTCGGAGATGAAGACTTGTACAAGGATCAATCAGCAAGATGGAAACAGAGATAACTGAGAACCGGAAAGGCAGAGATGCCTAAATGGGGATAGGCGCAGGATCTCAGATAGAGGGCAGGAATAGGTCTGGAGATAGTAACAGTTAATATCCGGAGGTCTGGAGATCTGGGGATCTGGAAGGCAGGGCAGAAACAGGACTGAGATATGTGAGGTGGTGGATGTAGTCCGGAATCTGAGAGGAGGTAAAGTCCAGATGTCTTGCTGGACGGAATATGCATAGGGTGGACAGGATAGAGGATCCAGGAATGAGTCAGATATGGGGTCCGGAAATAGGTCGGAAAGCGTGGGAATATGATGGGATCTATGTCTGGCATATGGGATATGACAACAACTTACTACCATAGGTCTGCCAATATAATAGTCTTTGGAGATTCTTCCTACATAGTCTACCTATCTATTCCTTTATCAAGTGGTCTGCAATTGTGATAAATATTTTCAATATTATATATCAGACAAAGTTAGGTAAAGCCTTGTTATATTCTGGTCAAATGCCTGATGTTGTTCTTGAGCATCCATCCTTCTACTAAATGTCAAGTTTCATCTCAGTCTTCTCTATGATTGTCCTTCACCCTCAGGGGAGGAGCTGAGCAGCCCAGAACACAGACCTGCAAGAGACAAGCCCCATGAATAGTAGAATGCTACAAGTCATAAGTGTCAGTGGTTTTCCTTTAGTATGTACTGATGATTTTTCCCAAAGATATGCTGGCAATGCTTTATTTTATCACTACTGTGCTGTTTCATTTTGTGACAGGCTCCATGTCAGACACAATTGATAGTACACTCCTGCCCTTGGTTGAGGAGCCAAGCTACACAGGACACTTCCAGGACTCTGAAGAGACATACCTTGGTGGAGCACAATGCATCACTATTACTTGTATGTGATATATGTTCAAATTCAGTATGAATTGACAATCTCCCCCAAGCCATTTGTGCAACTGATCTCACTCTTGGTCACCAATGCACCGGGGAGGACCAAACACATGTGGTGTGCACACATGCAAATTTGCAAACTATGCATAAATGTTAAACTTCTATAACCAGAGGCTGTGGCTCTATCTGTCAAGGACTGACTACAAGACAGGATGTTACAGTTCTATTCTTTTCCTCTTTCACCTCTTCACTTATTCACTTCATCACATATTCACAGAACATTCTTTAACATTCTATCGTACAATTCTCACTTCTCTTTTCTGATTCGCTATTTACTTTCCATCTCCGATTCATTTATTAAAGCTCCGCTTCAATTCCCTTATATATACTCCATCTCTTACGCTTGTATTCTTTAACTTGACCTACGCAGACCAGGGCCTGCAATATACTGCTTAACTCGCACGACTTGTACATAGGTGTACGCTTTAGACTCTTTGTGACCGTTTAGTCGTTCTTACGAACGCCGAGCGTAACACAGGACTCCTGCAACTACCTCAGGAATCTTGACACTCTTATGCTGGCCTGCCCTAGTACACCAATGGATCTCTGCTTGCTTCCATGTGATTGTAACCACTGAAGATGCTGAATGGCAGACTAGCAACATGCCTGTACATGTAGATAGAGCAATTGTTGAATGAAATGAGTGTGCTTTTGCAAGTTGCTCTTAATTCAGTCTTTCATAAAGATGTTGAGAAAGACCTTAGGTTGTCTGAGGCAGCTTCTAAAGTTCAGGTCAGCATGTATGCCTCATTTGAATTGGACCCTATGTTTGGTCATGGAGGGCTCCTCCACACAATTGGGCTCTCTGTTGGAGAATTGCTGGATTGCAATGAAAAGTCAAATTGTCAGTAACATCTGTCACACATGATGCCCAACAGATTTCAATTGGTATCCCAGTGATCATCATTTGGCAAGACTTGCCTGAACCATTACCATAGTCACCCTCATGCACATCACATAAGTAAATACCCAGTTATATATTACAGGTATTGTCTACTATAGGGCTTCACCCCAATGGACAATAAACAAGGATTTAAAAAAAAATCTCATTTGGCCAAAGGTGGGGGAAGTCATATTCTCCTTTACTTCATTGCTCATGACAGTGGAGCAGCAACATCCTGGCAATGATCCCTCAGTTCACCCAATGACTCTGGTAAGTAATCAAGGCATTCTGTTATTCTGATATTGAGAGCTTGAGATATGCAGTCTACATCCTGTGTTGCATCAACACTAAGGATTGATGCTGGCCATCATCTTCTTGCACAATGTGGTCAGATGTAGAACAGTCAGGATCTCAACCAATTCATAATGCACTTTTGATGCACCTCTGATCTCTACCCCATTGATCATTCCTACCACTGAAGGTTCAACAACTCTGCTAGCTTGCAGAGCAAAAGAAAGAAAGATGCCTCTAACTCTGGGGTGAGAGAAAGGCCACTGACTCTCTAAGTGTTGGTTGAAGTGTGCCAAGTGATATGTTCAATCCTTAAGAGAAGCAAGGAAAGCAAGGATCCACTGGGTGAGACCAGGTCAACTCTGGTAAAGTGCAATGAAAGTGCACATGGGAATATGGAGTGCGAAGGTGTGTGAAGCATGGGAATAAGGCACAAGGAGTGCACAAATGTATATGATACTGGTGGATGGTGTGAAGACATGACTGGGACTGCTGAGTGGTGACTGATGATGATAGACTGTTGCTGGGGACCAGGACAATGACTGATGCATGCTGACTGAAGATGATAGATTCTGACTGCTAGACAATAACTGGCATGATAGTGGTAGTAGTAGCTTATGGTAGTTGCTGAAGTGGTCACTAACTAAAAACTTACCTGGTAACAGGTAAGCTGTGCCTAGGCATGCTCCCAGGGCTTGGAAGTGAATATGGAGCACTGTATGTATGTAAATGATGTAATGTAAGGGTCCATGATGGAATAAAATATCATATGATGCCAAACATGGTCTGATATAGTAAAATAATGGAAAGGGATGCACCAGGGAACTGTGCAACATAGTGTGACCAAGTGCAGGAAGAGCACGCTAAGTGCATGTGTGGGAATGTGTTGCATAGTGTGGGAAAGTGTCATGCCTCTGGTGTGTTTTATAGGAAAGTCATAGAAAGTGAGTGATGCACTGTATTAATTGTTGTGAGTTGAAATATGCATGATATATGCCTGGAGGAATCTCATTCTCTACACTGCCCTGCTGTCCTGTTTAATCTAGTTTCCAAAGGTTGTTAGTTGCCAGGTCAATGAAACCTACCTCAACTTCAACATCCCTATCTCTCTTTTTCAAGATGCCCTTGATTACATCACACTGGCCATCCAGATTATGCTGTAACTCAGCTCCATCTTGCCATCACTCTGCTCTCTCATTTTGCAAAATTGTAGTGTCAAGCCAATGCCAATGCAACTGAAGATACAGCATATACAGAGCAGTTGTGCTTGTAATTCAAACATTTGTTATGTACCCAGCTGGAAGTATCAATGTGAATGATCTTGGGCAGGAGTGGCTTATTAGATCCATGCTACCACTATCACCAACTCAACTTGCATGTTTAGCAGAATGGTATTGGCACACAGATGGTCTCCATGGCATAGATGAAGTTATATCCCTTTATCTTGATGCTATAGGATATTGTAGTGTGATGCACAATCAGAGAGAGCAATCACTTACACATTGCTTAATTGTTTCCAGCACCAGGTTGGTAGCCAAGACCTCGACAAGAGCATCACATTTCATAGGGAAGCACTGGCTTTGCAGCCAGCAGGTTGCATGGATTGGATTGAGTCATTTAAAAACCTTGTGGATGGACTCTCTATCTGCTTCCAGCACCGAAGCAATGTCCAAGACTTGGATAAGTCTACTGTGCTTTGCAAGGAAGCACTGGCCTATCATGATTGTACTCAGCTGGCCACCCACCTTGGACCACAGTGTGACAGTCAAGTTTTCCTTGGGCTTAGATTTACTTGCTTTACTTACCTTTACTTACCCCCACTTTCATTAGTTTAAGTTCGCATTTTTGCTGCTTACTTAAGCATGTCTTGCTTTCACTAGTGTCAATACCAGTCTGAATGACAGTCCTTTGTGATGATAATTTCTACTCTCTGAGCTTTGAGCCAAGTCAGAATCCTATGGGCTGAACATACTGCTCTCCACTCAGCAGCTTGGCCAGCTGTTTTGTGATTCCTACAATGGCATTAACTAACCTCAGGGATGGACTCTTCATTAGCTTCAATCACCAAGGCTATGGACAAGACTTAGATGGTACTATTGTGCTTCTCAAGGGGTTGCTGAGTTTGTACCTGGTTGGTCACAAAGATCAGTTCCTGTCATTGAATAATCTTGCAGGCTTCAATAACCAAGGTGATAATCAAGATTTGGATGCTGCCATCGCACTGACCCAGATTGGTACTTGTTATTAAGTGACCTTGGGAATGAAATTTCCACTCTGAGCACAAAGGAAATGACAAATATTTGGATGAGGCTATTGTACTTTATAGGGAAGTACTGAGTTTACTCCCTATCAATCACCTACAACAATCTATGTCATTAAATGACCTTGCAAATGGACTCTGCAACCACTGAGGCAATGACCATGACTTGAATGACTTGAATGAAGCTATCACACTTCACATGGCAGTGCTGGGTTTGCACTCAATAAGTCACCCAGATAGAACATTGTCATTGAATAACTGTCATATCCCACAATCTGGACCCACATTCCATCATATTCCCACGCCTTCTGAGCCTATGTCTGGACCACACTTCATATCCAACTCATTCCCAGATCTCCTTCTGCTGTGTGCTCCACTGCTAGCCTGAACCATAACCCCCTGTCCCATCCACCCTATGCACACTCCATCCAGCAAGACATCCAGACTTCACCTTATCTCGGATTCCAGGCTCTATCCACCTTCTCATATCCCGGTCCTGTATCCACCTTATCTTCTGGATCCCCAGATCTCTGGACCTCCGGATATTAACTCTGGACCTATTCCCACCCTCTGTCTGATATCCTGCGCCTATCCCCATTTAGGCATTCTCTGCCTTCCGGCTTTCGGTTACCTCTTGTTCCGTCTTGCTTATTGATCCTTGTACAAGTCTTCATCTCCGAGTTCATTTACTTATGTTCCGTCTTACTTACTAATGTGTTTCTGCATGCTTGTACATAGCCTTGCTCCTTTGCTTACTGACCCCCTCAGATATTGTCCAGTATATAACCCCTGTAGATACTCCTGTAGTTCCTCAGTTTGAATATCAACTTAGACTTGCCCAGTCCTCTCTTGGACTTTGGTCCACCTGAGTCTGTCCTACCCATCAGGCCTAGGGATTTATTCCCTAGGCCAGAGCTCCGCCTTTCCAGCACTTACCCTCTTTCTGGACTTAGGTCCAACCCTTGTCTCTCCAACTCTACCTTAGGGTAGTCTACCTCTGTTAGTTTCTACATTGGACTTCATCTGATGTAGCCCCTATTCCTTCCAGACCTCCTGTCCCTCGTACCTCCGGGCATCCTGTCCCTCGTACCTCTGGGCATCCTGTCCTTCAGATGTTCCACCCTCCTAACCCTCAGACATCCTATCCTCCTAACCCTCAGACATCCTATCCTCCTGTCCTTCAGACATCCTGCCCTCTGTACCTTCAGACATCCTGTCCTTCTGTCCTCCATCCTCCTGTCCTCCTGTCCTCCTGTCCTCCTGTCCTCCTGTCCTCCGGACCTTCAGACCTCCTATCCTTCCATCCTGTTTCCTGTAGAAGTATTACCTTGCAGTGGGAACTCTCCTGAGCACTTCCTGCATTCCTCCGGAACTCTCCCGTGCTCCTCTGGAAGTCCTCTAGCGCTCTCCAGCAGAGTAGCCAGCCTCTGGAAGCCCTCTGGACTTCATCAGACCATCATTGGACCTCATATGAAATGAAGGGCACATACTCGGGTAAGGGGCACAGTGTATGAGCTGAGGCCAAGCCCCTCTGAGTCAGTCTCTCTCCCCCTTGAGCAACATGGTTCTTAACAATAACCTTGTGAATCAACTTGTGATCTGCTCCATGCACTGAGGCAATGTGTCATATGCCATTCCAGACTCTCAACTCTAAATCTGCTTCTCCAGATATCTGGATCTGAGATCTGGATCTCAAATGATCTGATCTATCTTTATCTTCCTTCCAGAATCCAAACCCTATATCAGCACCCAACCCCATTTAGACTTCCCCTGTCTCCAGACTCTGGTTAACTATGTTTCCCTTCTGATTATTGATCTGTTACATACATTTCATTTCTGGTGTTCATTATTTGTGATCTGTCCTACTTACTAATAGACTTTGCATATGCTTCGTACATAGCCTTTATGTTTGCTGATTGATTCCTATATGATACCTACAGTATATAAACCTCCTGTAACTCTCGGAAATACTCCAGTTTGAATATCATCTTAGTTCCTGCTCATTCCTGTGTCCTCTGGACTTAAGATAAGTCTCTTGTCATATTCCAAGTCTTAGGATTGCATCCTAGACTACATTTCCGACTCTACCTTAAGGTAGTCTATCCTCTGTTAGTTTCTAGTCTGGACTTCATCCAGATTAGTCTTATCTGCTTGTCCAAGTAACATCTGGACGTCCATCAGATTTATCTCACATTTCAGATCCGGACATCCATTGTCTGCCCTAGTCAAATCCCAGAAACTCTGGACAACTGTTCTAGCCCCCGGAAATTAAGGGCACATACTTGGGAAAGGGGCACAGTGTACGAGCTGAGGCCAAGCCCTTGTGATCCAACCCCCTTGAGCACGCGACCTTAACACAATGTGGAAGACTTCAGTGATGCCCTAGAGAGCCTTGGCTGTGCATTAAATTGATTGACACTATATGATCCTCATTGATCAAACATTTATTGTGGACTAGCTAGTATCTATCTGCCATTCCATAATTATCAACCAGCACTTGATGGCACTGGTAAAGGCATGGACAGTCTAAATGCTGTCATACATTATCTGAGGATAGCAGCAAATGTTGGCTCTGGAGGTTTGCTGCTTGCCTACAAGTAAGTGTTCATTGGGTCTGCCTTGCTGATGCAATATATGCACTGCAGCATATTGGAGGCTTATGCAAACTTCTATGAACCTTCTGGATGCCCATGTGTCTGCCACAGCTTTGGTGTCATGTTGTGATGATGCCATAAAGGTCTTCTGCACTTGTAGTTGATGCTGCATCATGTGCTCTTCATGGTGGTGATGTGTGCCTATTAAGAACTGGTTTGCTCAAAGTGGAGAGAGGGACTGATTCTGAGGGGCTTGGCCTCAGCTCATGCACTGTGCCCCTTACCTGAGTATGTGCCCTTCATTTCAGATGAAGTCTGATGATGGTCTGATGAAGTCTGGAGGAGTGTGGGAGAGTTCTGGAGGAATGCAGGAAGTGCTCAGGAGAGTTTCCACTGCAAAGTAATACTTCTACAGGAAACAGGATGGAAAGATAGGAGTCCAGAGGACAGGGTATCTGAGGGTTAGGAGGATGGGACATCTGAAGGTATGGAGGGCAGGATGTCTGAAGGACAGGACACCTGGAGGTCTGGAAGGAATAGGAGCTACATCAGATGGAGTCCAATATAGAAACAAACAAAGGTAGAATCAGAGAGACAAGGGTTGGACCTAAGTCCAGAAAGAGGGTAAGTGCTGGAAAGGCAAAGCTCCAGCCTAGGGAATTAATCCCTAGGCCTGATGGATAGCACAGACTTAGGTGGACCAAAGTCCAAGAGAAGATTGGGCAAGTCTAAGTTAATATTCAAACTGAGAAAACTACAGGAGTATGTACAGGGGTTATATACTGGAGAATATCTGAGGGGATCAGTAAGCAAAGGAGCAAGGCTATGTACAAGCATGTGGAAGCACATTAGTAAGTAAGATGGAACATAAGTAAATGAACTCAGAGATGAAGACTTAAGGATCAATATGCAAGATGGAATAAGAGGTAACCAAAAGGCAGAAAGGTGGAGATGTCTAAATGGGGATAGGCACAGGATATAGGACAGAAGGTGGGAATAGGTCTGGAGTTAATATCTGGAGGTTTGGAGATCTGGGGATCTGGAAAATGAGGTAGACACAGGACTGGGATATGAGGAGGTGGACATAGTCTGGAATCTGAGATGAGGTGAAGTTTGGATGTCTTGCTAGATAGAGTGTGTATAGGGTGGACAGGATAGGGGGTATGGATCAGGCTAGTCATGGAGATCCGATGGTCCAGAGCTCAGGGATAATTCTGTAGTGGAGCTGATCCTGCTGAGGTATAGAGCAGGCAGTGGATGAAGAACAGGAAATGAGTTGGATATGAGGTGGGGTCTGGACGTAGGCTTGGAAGGTGTGGGAATATGATGAAATGTGGGTCCAGATTGTGGGATATGACAGTGCCACACCATAGAGTTGCTACAATAACACAGGACTCTCATCTGGACCCAGATAGCATGATTCCACACACCCCTCAACTCCAGTCTTCAGGAATGCAGCAAACATGCAGAGGCCATGATGAAGAAATTCTGAGTTCTTAACTCCCTCCTTGATAAATCTCCTACAAATCAGTTGTGCAGTTATTATTTAAGAAAGGCACAAAGCTTGGTTATCAATGTAGAAAGATAGTTAATTGATGTTGCAATGTGACATGATATTTTCTATTCTCACAAATACTCAGATTTAAGTTTCCAAGGAGATGTTTGCAATAACCCCTAGTTCTTCAACTGTGATCTGTGTGTTACCACATTTCCTCAATTTGATCCCCCAGACATATTGTGAGTATATGTCTAGGATCAACAGGGTGTTATGATGCCCATTTTTGCCTTTTGGAAGGGCTAGATAATCAGCCACTAGGAGTTTGAAGGGGTGATGTCAAGTGATGGGGTACATGAGGGCATGTAGCTGTGTGGGACTGAAGTTTTTGTACTGGGGGCAGTCAAGTAATGCTGTGATGATGGATTTGTCTAGGTGTGGGCTAACTGTCATATCCCACAATCTGGACCCACGTTCCATCATATTCCCATGCCTTCCAAGCCTACATCTGGACCCCACTTCATATCCAACTCATTCCCAGATCCCCTTCCGCTGTGTGCTCCACACCTCAGCAGGATTGACTATGCTCTGGATTTACCCCTGAGCTCCGGACCATCGGATCTCCACTGCTAGCCTGATCCATACCCCCCTGTCCCATCCACCCTATGCACACTCCATCCAGCAAGACATCCAGACTTCACCTCGTCTCGGATTCCGGACTATATCCACCTTCCCATATTCCGGTCCTGTATCTACCTTGTCTTCTGGATCCCCAGATCTTCGGACCTCTGGATATTAATGCCAGACCTATTCCCACCCTCTGTCTGAGATCCTGTGCCTATCTCCATTTAGGCATCTCTACCTTTCCAGCTTTCAGTTACCTCTTGTTCCGTCTTGCTTATTGATCCTTGTACAAGTCTTCATCTCCGAGTTCATTTACTTATGTTCCATCTTACTTACTAATGTGTTTCCACATGCTCATACATAGCCTTGTCCCTTTGCTTACTGATCCCCTCAGATATTGTTCAGTATATAACCCCTGTAGATACTCCTGTAGTTCCTCAGTTTGAATATCAACTTAGAGTTGCCCAATCCTCTCTCGGACTTTGGTCCACCTAAGCCTGTCCTACCCATCAGGCCTAGGGATTGATTCCCTAGGCCAGAGCTCTGCCTTTCCAG